AAGTGAACATGATAAACTAGAAAAGTGAAGAATATTTTAAACTTCATAATATAAAATGATCCCATGATCTAAACTAAGAGAAGTAATGATAGTGCTGAATATTTCTCTGTTCAGGAGCGTATAGAGCGAAGAAAAGTGTGTTGTTTTTAGAGGTATTACCTATACTGTGTTTGTATTTAAAGGTCATGAACAAAGGAAATGACCGGGGTAACAGCGTATCTGTTTGGCATAAAACAAATCAAGGAAGTTACAAATTCAGGGTTACTGTTTTTTCGTTTGCTAATCTGGATGAATGGTGATGTTTAACTTGTTCTTAATCCTAAATGATGCTGTAAGTCTTTTGGAGAGGGATATTATCACCAAAGAGATTACGGAGATGCTTGAACAAAGTGCTTCAGATGAGTCTGAACAGACAAGTGCCTAAATCTACAAGCAAGTAAAAGAAGTCATTATTTGGGAGAGATGGAATGGGGGAGAAAAGAATAGGACAAGGATTGTGATTGTTGCATTGACTGCAAATTAATAATCTCCATGGCCACAACAGTGGTCATCTAAAATAGAAACGAGATCAGATTTAAATAGTTACATGCTTAAAGCCTCTGCACTCCTTGTGCCATTTTAATGGAAAACATTCCGCTTCTGCACAGCTACAGCATCTTCAAGTTCAAAGGCATCACTTGCCAGCAAAATCAACATTTATGTGCTTTCAGTCCCCAGATTGACTAAAGGGTTCTCCTATTCTTCTAACAGATAGGAGGAAAAGAGGCTCTTGTTTTCAACAATGAAGACCTTGGACTCAAAAATTGCCTTCATCTCCAACAAGTAAGACTCCAAGGCAATCAGTACTCCAAAATAAAATGCTAGGTGAAAAAGTATTGGACCAGTTTTCCACCGACCAGTGTTTTCATTTGCATATCACAGGTGTGTTGAAAACTGCTTAGACAGATGGTCTCAAAAGATAGTGATCAATGTCCAGAATACTGGGCAACAAGCGGAGAGCTTGGGAATGATTTTTTCATCTCCATGACTAACAGCGATATTAATACAGAATGCATCACCCACAATCCAGATTGCAATAAGATGAGGGGATGAATGGTAGACAGAGTAAAGAGCAGAGATTTGCTCCAGAGGGATGTTGGGAGACCAACCCTTCCAAATATATAGACAAACAAATGTCCCCATATTTCTCATATGCTAATTTAGTGAACTAGAAAGAATCAAAGAAATCCTTCTTCCAAAGACATCTGTTGATAGGATAGAGAAGTACATTGTATTATTTTAACTGGTTTTGGTGAGTATTTTGAGCATTAGGTGGAATTTGCCACTGCTATAATATAAAGAGATGATACAGGCTAAAGTCTCATAGAAAATTTCAAAGTTTATTTGCCTGGCTCTTTTTTCTTATTTCAGAATTAGCATGGTAAAATATATTGCAGTGTTTTCACTGTGTTATGGATTTGAGGATTTGAATGCACGGAAAAACTGGATCTGAGCACATGTAATCAAATTCTTCTGTGAATTACACTTGTGCATGTAAATGCAGCATCGCCCTATGCACAGTACCAGCACACTCAAAACAACTCTGAGGGACTGATTAAGTGTTAATAATCTGTTATTTGGCTCCTCTTTCTACCCAGCTTCCCACAACCGTTCCTCTGTTTCCAGTTACAGATGTGGAAGTGCTAAGTATTATCTCAGTGCTCGAGTAACATGGTCATGGGATTCAAAGAGATCTCACATGCTGCACATTTGAGCAAGAAAGGGCCTGTGGTAACTCCCTCTGCCTTTCTGTTTTCTCCCATAGCGGACCTATACAGCCTGCTCGCGGCTCTGCCTGTCTTCCTATATTACTACTGGGATTTTATCTGCTCATTATTGATTTCAGTGAACGCTTTCTTCTGACTTTCAAAATCAACTGCCAGAGGATAATTCATCTCTCAAAAAATGTTGGGAGGTGGAGATGACTGTAATACTGTCTAGGGGGTGGGTGTAGAAGTGCAGTTACAAACAGAGCATAGAACATGGGGGAATTGTATAGGAGGAAGTCTTAAAATGGATATTTTTAAAGACAGGTCAAAATAATAATTTTTATCATAACATTCCTCATTATGTTGAAAGGGGAGGCTGGTATCAAATCTTTGTTAGTGGTTCATTTCTCTTAAGAGCTGGAGCTCATATTAGTATATCACTTAATGGTGATATATATATACAGCTATCAGTTTATAGTTTTCTGCAGCCATGGCTGGTTTTCCATGGCACTGAATAGCTTGCCAGCCACCAGAAAGAAATATTTGCTTAGTTTTAAGTTTTTAAAATTTAAGAAACAATTTAGGCAATGTATATTAGGTAATATTCCTGTTATCTATTACTAAAAAAATTGAAATATTAGCATATTTTCAGGCATAAGAGAGCTAGGATTCTTTGAATGATTTTAACATTATGTGGTTAACATTATATGTTATTGAATAAGAGCCAGAGACATGTGTCCATTTTTTACCATGGAAGTAGTTAGACGTGCATAGATTGTCTCTTATTTTAAAAAAATGCTCATACAGCTTGCTTTACCTTTTAGTTAGAGCAGGCTAATATACATCACCTCTTCAGAGCTTCAACTAAGTTGCTAAACTACCTTAAATCTGCTGCTTCCGGTCATGTAACCTCACCCCACAAGTATGAATGCATAGTGCAAAAATAAATGTTCCCCAAGAATGCAGAGCATAAGCAGAAATTTGGAGGTGAGTGATGCCTATGGGTGGGAAAAAAGTGTGCTTTTCTTTCCTTTGTTTTAACCAATATTGCATTTTAATGACCACATCCAGGGAAAAATCAAGCATGAACCATTGTCTGTATAGCTTCCGGGTGAAGAGAGGAAATGGAAAGATAAATGAGGATAAGAACAGAGATAATGTGTAGAGAAAGGGAGGAGCCAGAAGAGGAATAGACAGACAGACAACTGGAACAAATGGGGCAGAATACACAGACAGACAACTGGGACAAATGGGGCAGTATTCTCTGGAGGTAGTTTCTCTCTGTTCTTGCCAGACTCGACTGCTCTACCTCTACCTAAGTAGGTGAAGGGGAGAGATCCCTGTGTTAGGGGCACTTCCAGCATGGAAAGGTTCATGAGGGAAGGGATGCTGAGTGCCTGCCTCCCCAGGATAACTGAAAGATTATGCGTTTCTGGCTGCAGGTGTAGAAACAATACCTTACCTGGGGAGATGCTGTTCTCCCACATAAGTCTTTATACAATTTTTCTCACTGCTCTCGCACTGTAATTATGTCCTTTAAGGGCTGGGTGCGCAAGTCCTGTCTATGGCAGGAGTTAGTGGATGCTGTATGCTGGCCCAGGGATTAGTAACTAGATAACAAATCTTTTTGAATCCTGGCTTGCCTTATGTCCTGATAGGAAAGCAAATCTCACCCTTTTGGCAGCAAATTATTTCATTTCAAGGATGCTGCTGGTAAATGATGTTTTCCAAACTGAAAAATGTGGGATTTCCTGTGCTGCAAGTTATTTTGTTTATCTTGGTTGTTTATTTTTCAGCTTTATGAAGCAATCTGTCTGGGGAGGGGCTAGAAAAAATTGACTGAGGCTTTTCTTCTGATATAGGTCTTCTTAACCACAGATCTGTATAAAATCAAATGTGAAAGTAAAATCCCGCTTCACCCTGGTGCTGAGATGTTGAATACAGTTGTGCTTCTACTCGCATGCTGTATTCCTGTACCTCTTTACAGCTGTTATTTTAAAGTCAACTACTGCATAGAAGGTGAAAAAACTTTGAGAGATTGTAGGAAATAGGCTCTTGCATCAGATACAGATCCCTACATAGTCTTCCTGGTAGTTGACTGGAAATGTTACTTCAAACAATTTCCTTGCAAACGTTACTCTCAGGTACAGTGACTGACTTGCTTATAGCCTCCTTAGCTTTAAAATTCATCTGGAGTTTAGGCTTTGTTCAATGTATTTGTTTTTCAATCCGTGGTTGTAATGTTTGAAGAGGTAACAGCAAAACAACTTTTGTTTTGTCTCTTCATATTCTTTTGACATTCTTCTCTTCCTTCTTCTCAAGGGCTGACAGGCCATATGGACCTCTAGGAGATTTATTAGTGCCTTTGTGTCATTACCGTTGTATGAGCTCCATTTCTTACAGGTTGCAACTTTGCCTCCTGTTGCTTTCCTTCATCTATTCTAAATACTGATTTTTGTTTTTCTGCTCAATATCTTAATTCCTGATGGTTACAGGGCTTCTGCAACCAGTTCCATCATCTTTTTTTCCCAAAAATAAGATTATGAAGAGCAATATTACTTGGAACAAACTGCTTTATTTAGGACAGGGTATTGAGACATTTGTGATTTTGGGTCATGTTGGTTTTGGTCCTTAGATTGTCTTCATTCCTTAAAAATTTTAAGAAGCTTAGAGAATATAATGCAACCTTGCAACACATCTTGCAAGTGGACAGTTAAGGGACAGAAAAGTTAGCGAGGCAAAGGAGACCTGGGAGAGAGAACCAAGAGGAAATATGTGTTCTCTTGCTTCCTTTCCCTGTTCTTATTTTGTCACATATGCAAGGCAGAGCAACTTTGTGCCACAGAAGGAGCAAGAGTAAGTCCTAGTAAATCATAGTCTGTAGTCATGTAGCGAAAAATAAAAAGCTGTCAGTTCAGCTGCCAGAATTCTGTAAGATTGCTAGTACAGTTCTGTAAGTTTGCTAATTAAAAAACTATTTAAATATTATTCTGAGAAGTTAAAGAAGGGAAACAAATCTCTGGTAGCCTGTCTGCTTTCCTGTAGCTACTTGTGGCTTGTGCTGCATCTGAAGCTACTGTGCCCTGTGATGTTTCAGAGAGGCTCGAAATCAGCAGCCCCTCCACTTTCTGCAGCTCCTGAGTCCCATTGGCTGGAAGGCAAAGCAGAGGCGGAGAGTGCCCTGAATATTTGTCTCTTCCACACACCGTAAAACAGGCAGCCGGCATGCGCTGTCTGAGAGCGAGAGTGGTGCTTGCAGTTTGGAATCAGTTCCTGCTCTGCAGCAGTCACTTGGGCATTTTATGCTCACCTCTCTTTAATGGAAAGGAACAAAAAGCTTTGCAGCATACCAGTGAACTAAACAGGAGCTGACCGCAGGGGAGAATCTGATGCAAACATAAAGACTGTTGGGACTCTGTGACATAAATCACCAAGGTAAATGTGAAGATGATCAGAAACTGCATCTGTGAGAGTGTAAACCAATATTTCTGAGTCTGAAACTTGATTTTATCAGAGTAGTCAAAGTGTTCTGAACTGCTGTCTGCCTCGGTCCTAGCTTATTTTTCTTTTTTTCCCAAGTTGAAAAGCCAGAAGGTTTTCAGAGGAATGCAAAAGGAACAGGAGTTTTAAAAGCAGGAAGGTGAAAGGGGAAGTCCATAAGATGAATTTCACCCAGCACCGTGGGACACTCCAGCCTCTCCATCTTTGGAACCACAGCTACAGACTGCACGGAGGTGCCAGTGAGCCAAATGCAAAGGGCCACTCCTCAGGAGGCTGCTATGAGCAACTCTTTGTATCCCCTGAAGTGTTTGTGACTCTGGGCATCATCAGCTTGCTGGAGAACGTCTTGGTCATTGTGGCGATAGCCAAGAACAAGAACCTCCATTCACCCATGTACTTCTTCATCTGTAGCTTGGCAGTGGCTGACATGCTAGTGAGTGTATCTAATGGATCAGAAACCATTGTCATCACGCTGCTAAACAACACAGACACAGATGCACAGAGCTTTACCATAAACATTGACAATGTCATTGACTCAGTGATTTGCAGTTCCTTGCTTGCATCAATTTGCAGTCTTCTCTCAATAGCAGTGGACAGGTACTTTACTATCTTTTACGCCCTCCAGTACCATAATATCATGACAGTGAAACGTGTAGGGGTTATCATCACATGCATCTGGGCTGCTTGCACAGTCTCAGGCATTTTGTTCATCATTTACTCTGACAGCAGTGTTGTCATCATCTGCCTTATTAGCATGTTCTTCACTATGCTCATTCTCATGGCATCCCTCTATGTCCACATGTTTATGATGGCTCGGATGCATATAAAAAAGATTGCTGTTCTTCCAGGGACTGGCCCGATTCGCCAAGGGGCCAACATGAAAGGGGCCATCACTCTCACCATCCTGATTGGAGTTTTTGTTGTGTGCTGGGCTCCATTTTTCCTGCACCTGATTTTCTACATCTCCTGCCCCTACAACCCTTATTGTGTATGCTTCATGTCCCACTTTAACTTCTACCTCATCCTCATCATGTGCAATTCCATCATTGATCCACTAATCTATGCATTCCGGAGTCAGGAGCTCAGGAAAACATTCAAGGAGATTATATGCTGCTGTAGCCTGAGAGGGCTTTGTGATTTCCCTGGCAAATATTAAACTAAATGGATGGATATGTTACTGTGTACATAACATGCAGCACAGATTTCCGAGCCTTCAGATCCTCTTTCTCAGCAGAATTTGGTTTAAATCTTTAAGAGTGAACACCTCTTTCTGTCTCCCTCTCTCTCATTGTATCCCATTTGCATGTAATTAATATTTCTTAAAAATGTTTGTGATGCCTACAGTTTGTAATTTATTTAGCTGGAAAGAGAAGTAGCACTTCATAGTAGTTTGTAAGAAGCAAATAAATGTAATGATTAATGTGAAATATTAACAAACATGAGCAGCTGTATATTTCAACTGCTGACAAAATAAATAACTTGTCTGACTTGGAGTATGTATTGATTGATACTCTTCCTTATTCTGTTGAAGTAATTATAGCTACATTATATACATCTTAAAATAGAGCATATACTTTTATATTAGTGGATTAGAGGTTCTCTAAAATTAGAAAGCAAATTTTTCAGAAAGGTTAGTAAAACTAACAAGTTGTATTTATTCATTTTGAACTCTTTTTGTTTTACTCCACAGCAGCAATTCTGTTCTTTGTTACAGTTATTGCCCACAGCAACAAGATTTTTGAAACACTTGCTACACGGACAGTTGAATGCTTGGGATTTGGGCTGGGTTTTGTTTTCCAAGTAATGACTGCTGTATGTCTGAGTACCTTTTTGCAAACTTTAAATTGCTCCCTGGAGCATCAGTTAGCCCTGGATATATTTGCCACGCTGGCATCCAGGTAGCCTAACACCTCTCCATTCAGCCATGAGGCAGATTCAGTATTATCTTTGACCAGCACCAGTGTAAAGATTCACTGAGAGATTTACCTGATGAAGACAAAGTTGGAACTTCATTTTGAACATTCAGTCCTTATTCTGAGGTGCTGTGGGGAACAAGGACTCTGTGCTTCAGAAAAAATACATCCTTGTTGGAAACAAGCTACCCTCTGCTCTGAAGTGTGATGATAGAAGACGGGATTCACTGCCAGGATCTTTACAGGGGAGTCAAGGAATGTGTTAATTTGGTCTGAGCACTTCAGACCACACCGTGGAACATAAGGGGTTTGCAGAGGAAATGCTATCACACAGAGTGAGTTCTGGCTGATAAGTCTGGTTACCCATGTTCTGTATCTGACAGCCCTGTGTGCTGCTGCTCCTTGAATTCAATTCACTTTTACAAGCATCTAATTAAATGTGTTCTCAGTTTCACACTAAAAAGCCTCTCTCTCCACAGGTTATAGTAGGGACCTTAGGTCCCTAGTATTAGCACTTTTGGAGGCATTTAAAGTATAAAGGGGAGTACACAGGACTCCGTGAAGATGTCGCTTAACATCTCAAAAATATCAGCTTCTATTTAAGGACACAGAAAAATTAATTTATTTATTCCCAATAAGTATAAAACATAGTGGAAACTTGCAGAAGATCTCATAATCTCTGATTTAAAAACTCAAAATTAAATGTACAGCACGATTCAGGATTTAATCCAGAATACTTGATTTTACCAAGATGAACAATGAATAAATTAAAAACAGGATGAGCAGTCCTATTAATTTTCTTAGAAACAGCTTGTTTCTTCAAGATGTTTGTTCCTTCACTAAAGAAAAAAATACTATGAAAAGCTTTTTGAAGAGACCAATGTTTGCTACCTGGGGTTCTTCAGACAGAAGCTGATCTTTCAGTTGTGGGTAACTTTTCAGGATATTTTAAAATTATGACAAAATTTGGTCCTCATTCTCTGTTAAAGAGAATGAAGGACTTAAGGTGGGTCTCAGGATTTCTAACTCCAATTTACTTACAAGGAGAGCAAGAAAGTAATTTGACTTTATGCATTGAAGGCTCTTGGTAGAATAAAAAATGCCAAAGAAGGAGTATTAAAGCTCAAGAGGAGAAAACAATAAATGTATTTCAATTAATAGTCTATCCAAAAATTCAATGGACTTTAATAAAGGCCTTTTTCTCTCCCACGAGACCTGATACTATCTACGCAAAAATATTCAGGCAATAATGAAAGAAATTGCTGGTGCTGGTTTGAACAAGGCACAAATCTTACTTCATCTTTCTTTTGCCTCACCTTCTATAGCTGTTTTAGGACTGTAAATTATGATAGTGGGATGCAGATTTTCCTTTGCAGTCCATGAATGCAGAGAGGACCCAGTGGAAAGTGGCACAAGAGCAAGATACTACATTAGGAGCTCTGAACATTACCTTGAAAGTCTCTGTTTCTCCCCTTAAGATATACAAGGACCAGACACCTAATTTAAAGACCTCTGAATTCTGAAGAGGATATGTGTCTGCAGATTACTTTCTGAACTCCCAACTGATTCTTAAAACTAACAGTTTCTTTTTTTTGTTGTTGTTGTGACTTTTTTTGGTTTGGGGGTTTTTATCCAACTCAAGCGGAAGAAAAATAATTAATTTTCATCAATGGTTTTCTTGTAGTTTCCAAAAAGCAGTGCGTATCTCTTTTATGCTTATTTGGACTAAGACTACTCAAGGCAGTTGTGACCCCACTAAAATTTAAATTTCATTTAGAAGCCTAATTTTTAAAACTTACTTATTCCAGAGTTTTAGCAGCTCTGAGCCTGCTTAGTAGCACTTCTGTATTTATTTCATAAAGCTAAATGTATATACATATTTTTTAATGCAGTTTTTAATTAAAGAGGACTTTTTCATTTCATGGTATCACTTTTGAGAGTGCAATTAATTGAAATTACTGGAAAATCTGCTACATAGATAATTTTCCTATTCTCAGATAGTCTTTTCCTTCTGAGGAGCTGAATTAGTTTGCCATCCATATAAATTAGTGTTGTGAAAGATAAATAAACTAACCTAGCTTGTTGGAGAGGGTGGAGGATTATTATCCATGCTCAATTTTCTGGAACTTTGTTCTTCTATTTGAAAATCTCCCAAGAAAATGTGATTTCTTTCTTTAAATAACTGAGGCTCTAATCACTTTGGCACTTATCATTCTAGTCATGTTAGGTAACAATCGTATATTCCTCTGTGGCAAGGAAATGGTTTTGTCTCCGCTTTACAGGTGTAAGGATTTACATTTTCACTCCTACTGGAAAAAGAGGCTAATGGATTTGCTCGGCCTTCTAGAATGTAGTCTTTACTTGAGCTGGAAATTGATGGTAGTGTTCTCCACACTTTTCACGTAACTGCCTGATACATTTCTGGAAGAATTTGTAACTGAAAGTTGGAACTCCTTTTGCTAGGAAGGCTTTCTGCCTAGGTGGTGGCTCTTTCTCAAAGGTAGTTTCAATGCTTCCCCTCCTCTCCCCCCCTCCCCCACATAGCAAGAGAAGTTCTCAGCCTTGTTCTCTGGTACGCAGAGAGATAACGTGTTTGCAGACATGTACAAGGCCTCCTTGGGCCAGAGAGAGTGGAGGAGGAGTGAGAGAAGAGAAGGAGGAGGAGCATAGCCTTTTGGCCCTGAAGGTCCAATGAGCTGCATGGTAAAAAAGTGATCCTTGCATCTGAAATAAACCTTTTCTTTTAATACTTCCACTGCCTTGGCATTCTTGGGAAGAATACCTGCGTATGTTTTACCTTACCGTAAAGTAACACACGAAACTTTTGAATGAAATGTCTTTCTTCAAGAATGACATTTCTTTAGCTCTGAAGTAGTTTTTGAACAAAGCAAAGGTCTCCAAAAGGTACATAGGAGGCTGGAGTTGGTCTCAGTAGAATAGATTTTGAATGATGATCCAAAATTCCGTTTGCAACTGAAACATGCTGTTATTTGGAAGCAAAGAGAAATGGTCTGACAGACTAACATTATTGAATGTGCAACAACAATGATACCTTCAGTTGTGCCTTTAAGAGATTACGTGTTCTTTTAAAAATCACGTAATTCTAAAATTAATTAGTTGCCGTTAAGCTGATCCTATTATACAGTGTATTCCTTGAGGCCTCGTTCATTCTCAAGCTTAGTTTTGGTGAAGAACTTTGGTCCTGGTGTTATTTATACTGAGTTGTTTATAGGCTTGCATAGGAATTACAATCTCAATCCCACTGGAAGGAGCTCTCAGAAAATGTACCTTTAGGCATGAAATTTTCATTGTTTGTCCAGAAAATATTTGAAATTACTATTCTGATTCCTTCCATCATATCCAAAATATCTTAGCATTTTCTCTTTGTATAAAATACTTCTCTCACCTATTACAAGGAACTGTCTACTGCTACTACAGACGCTCACTGTCACACAAGCCAGGTTATGAATTGATTCTGCCTGGCCTTTTTTTTGGTTTTGTTGGTTTCAAATGGTACTGTTGTCCTAGCTGTTTTTTGTATTTTTACTCACTCTGTTCATAGATGAAGAGATTTTCAGGTCACTCCCTTTGAGTTTATAGTGTAAATGTCTTCATCAGTTCTGCTTTTACCCATTTTTTCCCTTGCAAATATTAATAATTTGTTTCAGTTGTTATCCTTCATGCTTGGTATATTTCTGTATTTGTATATTTCTGGACCGCCATCAATCTGAATTCTCGAAGTCATCCCCTGTCTGTACAGTGGGTTTGTCTTTGTCCAGCAGCAAAACCCCCACCCAGTTGTTTGCTCATGCCCCACATCAGTGGGATCAGGGTTGAAAATAAGAACAGGTTTGAGAAAGCTCTGGATAAAGACAGGGATATCACTTACACACTACTATCACAGATGAAACAGACTTTATTTGGGAATAATGAACTTAATTTATGGCAAATTAAAATATTTACTTAGTGATTCAGCTAGTGGTAAACAAATGCAAACACTAAAACAACACCTTTCTTCCTCAGTGCTTCTTCTCAGCTACAACCTCACTCCTTCACTCTCAACTCCTCCACCTCCTACCCCACCCAAGCATAAGGGTGTAGAGAATATGGGACTGTGGCCAACCCACACCAGCTCCTCTCTGCCACTTCTTCCTCACACTTTTCCCTGCTCCATCCTGGGGCCTTTCCAGGGGATGCAGGGAACATCTGTCCCACCATGTCTGAGGGGTTTAGCCATGCCCTGCAGAGGGGCCTCTGGAGCTGCTGGAATCAGCTGTACCCATTGCAGGGCAGCCCCCCCAGTGCTGCCACCACCACAGGGGCACTTGTGTTGGGTACAACATGGCAAGGAACAACACTGTAAGCAGCATTTCTGGTGCTTTGTACATTTTAGTCAAGTTGCACAGAAAATTCTTCACCTAAATTGTGTGCCTCTCATGTCTAGACTGCCTCTTTTGTGTTTTGTGTTTTTTCCCCAGCAATGAACTAATCATCTCAAAATGTTCCCCCCTTGGGCTCTTTCCTGATGAAGAGGTCTCGCTGCAGAGTTTTCAAAACCTGATATTAG